TGTGTGTGTGTGTGTGTGTGTGTGTGTGTGTGTGTGTGTGTGTGTGTTGTTGTAGTTTGCTTCAGGCCTCACCAGCAGGAGAGCAGAGAGAGGGCAGTTCTGCCAGGATGGATACCGTGTTTGCCACCAGGCGTGCACTTTCTTCAGGTAGTCGCTGAGGCCTGAGAGGCACATGGCTGGGCGACTCCTTCACGCGTGCATTAAGCTGTGGTAAGTGGCGGACCAGCACGAACACGAGCAGCTCCATGGCCGCAAACACCAGAGACTTGCCGGGTACGAGCTCCCCCGTGTCTCCTCCTTCCCCGAGGCTGGGCAGAGAGTCTTTCTCGCCTTCTTCCTCTTTGCCTGAACAAAATATTATAGTGACCTAGATCACTCAAACAGTCACACAATGTGAAACAACTTGACTATGACGATAACACTTAACAGACTTAAAATTGATATCAACACGCTTTTGTTCAGTCATCTTTCACAGCACGGTGAGTTTTGCATTTTCAGAATAAAACAGTGTTTTTAAGTGTAATGTAAATTAAACAAGGCTGAGCCTTGAGAGTGTGTTAGTTCCTGACCCTTGCTGGTTTTCTGTCGCTGCAGATGGTCCTGTGCAGCCCTGATGGTCTCCTGTACCACAGCAATGACCTGGAGCTGTACAGCAGGAGGATCCCGGGTCAGCAGCAGCCTGTGGAGCACGTTCAGCAGCTCCACTGCCAGCAGCTACAACAGAAATGACATTTACAGTAATGCCCCTCTGAAACACCGGGAATGTGAACATTGATGTTCATAATAATGCTCGCCACATTATACTCACCATCTTGGCTCATTGCCAACAGGTCCACAAGTAGTTGTTTTATCAGAGTAATAAATGGTTTTATACAGTTTGTCAAATGTTTCAATCTCAATAAAAACATCTTCAAAACACTTTCATACTGTATGGTAACAGAAATTCAATTTTATTTTTTTGCTATTCAAAGAACAGAAAATCTTCATTAATATATAAAATAGGCTAAAGCGAGAAGGATGTCCCCACTACCACGCACACAGAGATGGTAAGTGGATTGTAATGACTGTGTGGCAGCAGGAGAGAGCTGAAAAAACCCCAGCTTTTTTCTGAATTTGGAGAACACAATCTATGTATCCTTTGAAGCTCTCAGTATCCCATCATCTATTGTGTGGCGGCTAATTGTTTAATGGCGCATTGGAGCGATCCGTGTTGTCTTGTAAAGCCAGTAAATATCACGTGGTCCTGCGGTATTCACCACATATTTGCACGAAGGTGGTGATCAGTCACTGGTCAATATATCACTTGAACTAGACTAATGAACTAACTAATGCAAGGTGTAAACAACAGAGGCCATGCATACAATCCACTCTCTCTTATTTTGTTCTTTGTAAAAGTAACTTTCATTTGGGTTTATGCAGTGCTTGAATTTCTGTTAACATATGACAGCAATGCAGCACAAGGTTTTAATATTTATCTATACACTAGACATTATTTCAAATACATTTTTAAACAAAATTCAAATTCTATTAAAGTGATACAAATCTTCTACAGTCTCGCTCTTCCTGTTATTTCTGCACTCAAACTTGGGTCTTTACCTGGT